TCCTTTATCAGAAACATTAATTCTGTCATGCAGGGGCATGATGTGATACCTTTATCTAACCTGTATGGTTATTTTAGTGTTTGTGGACCCAGATGAGATTTGACTGATTCTTAAAGACACAATACATTTTAAAAAATCTTTTCCACCCCTCACTTTGTCACACTATATGGCAGAGTTTTATGGCCAGATTCGCTGGTACACTTTGGCTGCTTTATCCATTTCTGGAACAATTCAAAGTGGCCAGAGCATACAAGCCAGTTAAACTGAGTTTACAGCTGCTGTGGTTTGTCAGTGCAAAGCAGAACAGTCAGTGTATATCACAGTTTCCACCCCCTTCCTGTCCTCCAAATTCCCTAGCTTCTTGCACCTCTCTACATTACCCTGCATGCACACACCCCTACTTCTCCCTCCTTCACCCTCTACATTCCCTTGTGCACACACACGCATACACCCTAGTTTCCTCTTGCTCCTGGCTTAACCCTTGACTAGATCTGGTAGTTTTTTGAAAATAAATTTAGGATTAAAGGTCACTTTTTGCCATTTTTTATTAAAGTTTATTTGTCATGAAGATCTGCCCTCTTTTAAAATGGAACTGTTCTCAATGAGTCTAAAACCACAAGGCCCTCTGTGCTGTGAGGAGGCAGAATCGCAATCTAACTGGGAAAAATGAGAGACCCGTTCTCAAATGGCCACCAACAGAGGGCAAGTGTGCTTCCGTCCCTTTAAATAATGGGAGAGGGCAACCATTTTGGAAGATAGTTCTTTGTGGAATTCTCTTAGGGTGACCAGATGTCCCGATATTTGGGGCTTTTTCTCATATAGAGGTCTATTACCCCCTACCCCTGTCCTGATTTTTCATACTTGCTATCTGGTCACCCTAAATTCTTTGTTTCAGAAGAACATTGTATCCTTCAGTCTTTGCTGTAGTAGATATCTTCAGTTATGAAAAATAACTATGTATGTAAAATAACCATTAATTCTAAAAACTTATTCAAATGTAGCCTATAAATAAGATTTTAGTGAGATTCAACTATATGGGAAGTCTGAGGAGTCTCTTGCTCTTCTACTGAAGTTATTACATGCCAAAGAAAAAAAAAAGTCTGACACGAGGTGCTAAATTTCATAAATGACCCATTTTAATTCATTTTAATTCCTAAACATATTAAGAGATTTACATGTAAATACTCAGACAGTTCATTCTGTACTCAAGAGTAAGTGCTGTCATTTTGGGGAGCACACAATTTGTTTTTCATATATAACAAAGAGTTTGAATCCCTGTTTTATGTGCAAAAACCCTAACTATGGAATTGCTACTGATACCTTTGTTGGGGTGTATGTGTGTGTGTATTGATATCTCTGTTTGTGTGTGTAAAATAAACTGGGGGACATATCATAACACTTACCTGTTTACCAGGGATAAGTCCTATTTCAGCAAAGTATTTTCTGTTTTCCCACCCAGCCTTCCAAAAAAGTCTTTTCTAGTTCCAAGTTTCAGTGAAGTTAAAAAGTGTACCACAATTTTTCTCTCTAAACATCTCTATTTATAGCTCTCAGATGTTGTCAAGTATGCATTGCATCTTTGAAGGAGATCAGACACAGAAAGAATGAGAGAGAAATGTGGCATAATTTCAATGGTACATGAGTCCGTGATGATTTCATATTGACTCTTGAATGGTATCTTCTGATGTAAACTGTTTACACTAAATGATAGAAGATGTATTGTTTCTACTCACTTAGTGGGGGGTTGATGGGGCATTGCCACCTCTGTTGTTTATTAATTTATTATCTCTTAAAGGCCAGAAGAATTATCATACTTATTATTAATCATTATTATTTATTTTCCTCTTTGTCTTTGCTGTGTATGCATCTTTTGTTCTCCCTATTGTTCTTTTGCACTCTGATCTGTGGAGGGAAACTTGACAAAGCCCTGGCTGGCATGATTTAGTTGGGGATTGGTCCTGCTTTGAGCAGGGGGTTGGACTAGATGACCTCCTGAGGTCCCTTCCAACCCTGAGATTCGATTATTCTATGATGATTCTATGTGCTTGGGCTATCCTGTCTGTGACCACTGCTCTAACCACTAACCCACTCTTCCCTCCCAGAGCCAGCAACAGAACCCAGGGATCCTGATTTCCAATATGTCACTCAAAGAGCTGTGTAAATCACTGGCAAAATGTATCACATTCCCATCCAGTAGCTCAGGGGTTCTCAACCTTTTTCTTTCTGAGGCCCTCTCCCTCCCCCCCGCAACATGCTGTAAAAATTCCATGGCCCACCAGTGCCACAACAACTGTTTTTCTGCATATAAAAACGAGGGCCGGCATTAGGGGGTAGAAAGCAGGGCAACTACCTAGGGCCCCACAAAGTTAAATTGCTCAGGCTTCGCTTGAGCCCTGGGTAGCGGGGTTCAGGGCCCTGGGTTTCAGCCCCGCAAGACGTGGCTTTGGCTTTCTGCCCTGGGCGCCAGAGAATCTAACACTGACCCTGCTTGGGGACCCTGGCCATCTTAATGCCGGGATTTCCTAGCTTTCCAGTGCTTGGCTTTGCAACCTTAATGCTATTTTAATACAGCTTTTTTTTGCCATGTAATTTCCCAGGTTGTTTGAAAACAACAATCACATACAGTGGGTTTTTTCCCCACAAAACTGAGGAAAAGCAACTAAAATAGCAGAAATACCCCACAATTGTAGGGTGTCGGAATGTGTGCTCAAACATGGCACTATTTTTTTCCCCTGCCTTCTGAGTCATTGTGTGCCAGCGCTCAGCATGGCTATGTTAGTGCTCTGCTTACCATCTCGTTGTAAATCATGTTTTTATGCCTTTTGAAAATCTACTTCAAATGTAACTGGAACAAAGAGCATCAGAAGACGGCTGCATCCCTGAAAAAAAGGCCATTATGTGGAGCTGCCAGAACATTCTGAGGCTGACAATGATGAGATGCTAATGAAGGGGTGAATGGTCTCCACACTTGCAGTATATTTTCTTTCCTGTGCTCTCATGAGAATCAGTGCTAAACTTTGAACACCGTTTGTGCTATTTAGCTCTTTTTTTAAATTAAGTATTAGTTGATCACATCATCTCCTTCATGCAGTGTACTCAGTTTTATTTCATTTTGCAATACATGAAGATCTGTGGTTTTGGTACCATTGAGAGAAAATGCATTGTATTGTCGATTGGATAGCTATGAGTACCAAAATCTGATGCATTGTGACATATAATGTGTTTTAATGATCATTCTATTTATATTTTCAAATTAAAACATCAACAATAAAATACAAGTAAGTACACTAGTCTATAAAAAATGTTTTTGCCCCTTACTTTATACACTGAGGATATCAAAGTCCCCAAAATGAAAACCACAGTTTAGGCAAATCTAAAAATAAAATAAAAATAATCCGTAAATAAATAAAACATAAATAATCATTTAATAATAACTAATCAGTGAATAAATAAATAATAAATACTTATTAAATACATTAGCCCCCCCATACATAAAACATATAGTAAATGTGGACTTTTATGCCTTCCCCCCTTTTCTTTCTCCACAATTCCCTGTCACATTGAAATTGTGCGCTTGCATGAACCAAAGATAGTTTGTTTCTATTCAGAATTTGTGCTCCCACAGGTTTGTCTTGTCATCTAAAAAATTTTGCTGTCTAAAAATGATCAGACATGTACTCTGTTATAATAATTTCTTTTTAAATATCGTCACAGAGGAAAATCAGCAGAAGTTGATCTATTATAAGACATCATTTGGGGATAAAAAAAAGTACAAAATACCACTAACTAAATACTTTAGTCTCACTTTGTTTTGCTGGTCACAGGAGATCCAACTCTCTATTCACATTTCTAGTTATGGAATATTTCAGCACCCAGAATTCTTTGAGACTGGGAGAAAAAAAATCCAGATGTGACACAAAAGATGGTTTCCTTTGACAAGTCATTTCAGAGTCCAACTATTCTCCCTTTTATCTTTTTTTTGTGTGAAGGGGAAGCACGCACCTTCTGTCCTTTAGGAGCAGAGCAAAGCATCTATATATCACCTAGGGCTTTTCAAGTGGAATGTGTGAAGGTTGTGTGACTATCAGACTCTTCCACAGAGGTTCCTTAAACTGAGAGCTGGGGTCCAGGGGGTCAGAACTCATTGGAATTAGTGGGAGTTGTTCTATTGATTTCAGTGTGCTTTGTCCCTGTAGTGTTACTATTCAGTTAAAACTTTATTGGGTATCTGGCTAACTACAGTTGTTGTTCATGCTTGTCCCTGGCAGACTTCAGTACCTAAAAACACCACTCCTATTTAAAATTGATTTTGGCATAAAGGTTTCAATTGTTGTGTCTGATGATGTGCAGCCACAGCATTTGACTGTAGGTGTACCTGGGAGTTTTTCCGTTGGTTTTTGGTTCTTCCTATTTTATCATGTTTTAAGTTGCTGACTAGTAGCTGGCAAATCAGTTAATCAGTACATCTGGCACAGTAGCTACGTCTCCCTGAGATACTGACAGTATCTTGTCTCTGGTACTGCTAATTCCAGCTTGAGTTCTTGCACCAATGGTCTAAATGGGTAGTGGGGAAGGGAATTGACCACTCCCCTTTGCTCCCTTCCCCTGTGCCACCAGTCAGAAATGAAATGTGTGTTCTAATCTCACTTATGTTATGGCAGTGTACCTTCATTGACTTCAGGGGTTTCTTCTGATTTACCCTGGTGTATCTGAGAGCAGAATCAGGTGCCCCAAAAGTTTCCAGGCCTAGATATGCTGTGTTGAGGTATCTCTTTTCTCTACCACTTGCTCCTGGAGAATCATCCACTAGCTTTTGCAAGTGTGCCTAATAAATGGAGCTACAGAGCAATGCCTCTGTGTTGATTGTGCCATTTGACTGATTGCAGAAAGCATCTCCTCCCACTCTTACTCCAGGAATTCTACTTGATCTAATTCCTCTGGAAAGCCACATCGTGACTACATCCAAAATTAACTTCTTGTCTATTTAACCCCTTTCCTAGGTACTCCACCTCTTCGTTTTCCAGGCTGGAGAAGGTGGGTATCAGGCATCCTGCACCTTTGCCTTTCATCGGAAACCTGCTGTTCTTTCGCCAGGTAAGAAGGCTTTGAGTTGGTATCTATCCAAAAATGTTTTAAAAGAGCAGGGGAGATGGGGAGGAGGGGACGGGAGAGAGTGATCTTGTAGCTACTGATCACAGCTCTTTGAGGATCTTCCTGTGGAAATAACAAGCACAACTCACCTTTGTGACCAGAAGAAACATAGCAAGCAGCTACCTATAAGAGGCACTGATTTAAGGACAAAATGAACCAGACGGAAAGAAAGGGTGTTTCTGAAGCTAATTACTTGAGCTTTTCCAGGAAAGTTCATGACCTTGGTGGAGTAAGCTTGGCTATGTGAATAGAACAGATTATATTAACTAGCTCTGACTGGTTTGTTCTGAGCTGCTTCAGTTTATACAGCCCTCTGTTGCTGATTGTACATGTTTATTTCAAAGCATGTAACTTTGTCTACTCCCAATCAAGTAAATGAAGTTAGATATCATTAACTAATACTGCTCCCTGCCCCCAGTTTTAAGGTCTTTTTTGAGGGAGGGGAGTTTTGTTTAGTTTTGGTTTTTTTTGCTCATGTACAACAACAGAACTGTTTCATGGAGAGAAACTTTTGTTTTATGGTCTGATTTCAATAAAGGCCAAGGACCCAGTCTCTCAATCTGAGTTTACAGTGGAGCACCGTCATTTTTCAGGTATGGAGCGTTAGTCTCTCCCATTCACATTGGTGGCTTTCCGTGTTGGTTTTCAAGATTCCAAAGCACTTTGTGAAAGGAATCTGGAATAACTCCAGTGTTCAGGCCATATTCCCCCCCAAAAGGCTTAATGTCCAAGATTGTCTGAGAAATGTTAATGAGTATAGTTCTTTTTGCTGTCAAAGTGGTTACACTCCCAGTATCTGATTCATTGTTTGGTAAGGCATTTTGAGGTACCTGGAGTATTAATGTAAATCCAGATTCAATTCTATGGTGAAACTAATTTAAATAATCGTTTTCACATGTGCACCCAGTTTCAACCAGGAGATAATTTAAAAGGCTGAATCACCTTAACAAGGACTGGAAGGCAGTAATGAGACACGGAGCTGGTCAGCTTTAGCACTGCGACTTGAAACCAGCCTGGAGACTGAAAGTAACTAATCTTGTGTCTCTTTGATGACAAAGCACAATTGATCCCTGTCCTGGCACTTTTTCAGCAACCGGCTGACAGAGAACTGAGTCACCCTCTTACCCCTAGAGGGAGTTGCTCTTGAACAGGGTTGAGGCACTGGTGAGAGTAATGTGGGGAAGTTTTCGCTGCTGTTACCTGTGCTTGTACTTAGACAACTTTAGTGAAACTGGTTTCTTTTATATGCACTAAATTAACATAAACAATATAATGAAGAGAAAACACATGCTATTTTACAGGGTTTTTTAAAAATAAAACAATGTAAAACTGATGTGCAATTACAGCTTTATATTCATGCATGAGTACTTAGAAATAAGAATTCTGGATGGGATTTAAACAGTGCTTAAGTTCTTAACAGCACAAGTCCCATGGATTTGCAGTCCTAAATCATTTAGGTTCTTTTGAAAATGCCTCTGTTCTATTGTGGGTGGGCATGATTAGTTCTATCGCTGTCAGTAGGAGCTAGGCACATGCTGTATTTAGTCCAGGCTCTTTGTAATTTGTTTTTCTCCCCTGATAGGTTCTTCTGTATTTTCCTGTTCTGTTTCTTTGATTGTTTTCTCAGAAATAGTGCCCATAGCAACACACTGGTAACAGGAAGACCATGTTTGTGCTGCAGGCTGTTTTCTAATGGTAACATTTTCACATACACATGTACTGTACTGAACTCAAAAAAGGACATCTCCTCCTCTCCCAGTAAGAGATAAACAGAGGCAATATGTCATCTTACTGGGAACTAGGCTGGATTTTATGGACCTAGTTGTGAGGGCACAGCAGCAGTTTGGTGGCTGGGTTAGTTTTTAAGGACAGCTCAGATGCAAGAAGTAAAATGCTTGTACATCCCGTCATCATGTATAGAACAATAAGAACTCTTTGCACTTACATATCAGATGCAATAATGTGATTGTATATAAGCGATCTTGTAAACAGCCTTTCTTCCAAGCCTCTTCGAAAGGCCGAATCCTTCTCCTGTACTCAGCATTGCCAACCCCCAGCATTCAAAAATCATGGCAGGCCTCCCAAAATCATAAATGGTTTAAAAATCATTAGATTTTAAAAATATATATTTTAAGGTTTTCCTGTTTGCTTTCTGGGTTTTGACTGTACTCAGGTCACATTTTCAAGCTTTTCTCTGCAGCCATGAAGGCTAGAAACTTTTAAAAATGAACACTGAAATTCTCACATAATCTCATAAATCCAGGAACTGGAATTTTAAGAAAAACACCAAATACCACAAGACTCACAATAAAATTGTAAGAATTGATAACACTTATGCTTACTTATATAGCTGAATAAAATCTATGGGCCTGATTCTTTTCTCACATAAATCATGTGAATCATCAGGTGTAGCTCTAGTAAAGTTAATGGGGTTAATGCCAGTTTTATTTCATCATATAAGTGAGAGGAGTATCAGGCCCTATCTCCCTTTCTCAGATTGCCTTGAAATGAGGGGGAAATATTACTAATGTGAGTAGGATTTTGCCCAGAGTGCTTCTTTTTTATTGTAAACCTACAAATCAAATTTCTGTTACAAAACTCAAACATGTTTTTCTATATCTCTTCTGTTTAAACAAAAACGCTTTATTGAAGAGTAAGTATTGTTTAGTTTGAAAAAGTAAATGTAGTGTTTGTGAAATCTCTGGCTGTTGGCTGGAATGAGGGTCACTGCTATGAAGTGTCGTTTGAGAGCTGGAAGATGGTGAGTGGCAAGGGTGGATGGTGGGGGGAGAAATTTGTGGGGAGGTGCAGGAAAATGAATAAAAAGGTAAGCAGCAAGTTGTTCCATTACTCGTAAGGTCCCACTTCTCTTTTAAGAACAGGAGAGAGCGACAATCACACCCTGAAATTAAAACATACCCAAGTTAATCGGCTAAAGAAAAGAAGATATGGAATTTTTGCAGTCCTGCAGCTGGGAAATTACCTCAGAGTCCAAGATATTAGATTAAAAATACTTCGATTACATTAGAACCATTTGCAGTGGGTAACATCTGCTGCAGGAGTAAAAGTGATTATGCTGTAAAAACATTGTGTTTAATTTTCCCAGTAATTGAGCAGGAGATTTGCAGCAGACAGAAATGCAATTTCACCAGGAACACTTGAGTGTTTCTCATCCTCCCTGCAACAATCTTGCATTTTTCTTACAAATCTGTGGGAAAACCAATGGGGTTTCCTCCCCTCTTGGAAGCATAACCGGATACACAAAGCGTACACAGAGCACGCAAACAAAACAGGGCATTAGAGCCACAGACTATTTAAAAACTGAACAAAAATCACCTCTTAATTCACAAGCTAATGGTTTTATTATGTGACAAATGCGTTCAAAACCTAACATATATAACACGGCCCTTCCCCCAAGAACCAGAGAGAACACTTGACCTGTTGCTCTTACAGTGTTGTATCCCCTCCCCCTGTACCTCGACCTTTCCTAAGAAAGCAGTTATCAGTTCTGCTGTTTTAAAATGTCATTATCTTGATATTTTAATGGTTCGAGTGATCGGGTACTTTACCTGTGGGCACTATGTACTATTCAACTTGCTGTTGATCTTTGCTGAGCTGAAAAATGTCATGGTCTTGGGGTTTTTTGGTGGGAGGGACTTTTATAACCAGTTGCACCTTCTAGACTGTTGGGTGAGCTGCTTTGGGTCCGTATATTGGCATGTTTATATTTTAGTTTCTCCCATTATTCATTCAAAGCTTCAATCATGCTTGTGACTGGTTGTGTGCTGCCTCCCTGCCTTGCATTTTAATGAACGACATCGCTCTTTTAGCCCCTCTCTTGGCATGGACAAGATGCTCTTTGTTTGCTCTGTTTATTCCTGATTGGGCTACTTGTCGTTCCTGGGCTTCCCCTGAGCAGCCCTCTTCTGCTGAATGGAAAATGGGCACTGTATGGATGCTTTGTCTCCTTCAGTGTTGGATTGGGCTGGGCTGAGCAGTTTAATGGAGTGAAGGGTGTGGGGAGAAACAAGAGATCAAATGTGATTCTTTCCCACTACTTATCTGCCAAAAGCATCCTTTGATATGCAAGTCAAACAAAATGCAGGGCCCTTGCCATAATGAAATTAATTCCTGTCTAATTTTTGAACTAGAAAGCAGCACATCAGTGTTTGGATATAGAAGCTGCAGCATTGACTGTTCAGGAATTTAATGACAAAGCACGTAAACCAAAGCAAGGTTTTAGAGAGACAAATGGTGAGGAGAATGGGAGGGAAAAAAGTGGGAGCTCACAACTAATCTATTGGCCTGTGTTAATTGCAGGAGTAATATAGCTTGCACTGACAGTAAAAGCTTGCATATGGTTTTGTGTTGTTTGGTAGAGATAAACAAGAAGAGAGGAATGGAATGGGGAGTGTTTGTTTGCCAGTTGATTGATATTTAAGTGGGAACTGGAAAACAGGGCCTTGGCATAATGAACAGATATCTCATTATCTTTCCCATTTGGTCTTGGACATGTATTGCGGGCTGACACTGTATCCTGTAAAAATGTACTGGGTGGTTTTAATCATCTCTAATGCATTGGGAAAATTCTTCTCACATTAGAGGCCTGTTTATATATTTCTACTGAATGAAACACATGCATGCATTACAGATACAACTCTACCCACTGCACAGAGTGCTGTATTGTGCTGGGCTTTGATTCGTGGTATGGATGTGCATATATCTGTGTATGCATTCTCTCTCCTTAGCTACGTCAATCTCCTTTATTTTGATTTGCACTTGATACTGCCTCCCTTGTACAGGACCCAGTCAATTTGGTTCTGCACATGGTCTAATAGATTTAATTTTTAAATCTGTTTTTATACAACCCTAGCACTCCTGAAACTAAGGGGCTGTAAGTTCTAATACAAATATAGGCTAATAGGAATGTAAGAGCCAAGAAG